CAAATCCAGGGACAACGGAAGACCCGTTGACGTCGTCTTCATAGACTTCAGCAAAGCCTTTGATAAAGTACCTCACAAAAGACTACTCATGAAGTTGGAAAGTCTTGGTATCAAAGGCAGCTTACTAAACTGGCTCAGGGAATTCCTCATAGATAGGAGGCAGAGGGTTAGGATCAACTCGAAACTCTCCTCTTGGACAGCAGTACGCAGCGGAGTGCCACAAGGCACGGTACTTGGACCTCTCCTATTTATTTTGTATATCAATGAATTATCTCTGCTCACCGACTCCCCTATGGTCCTATACGGAGATGACCTAAAAATTTGGAGAGAGCCGAAGGGCAACAGTGACACGTCCACGTTGCAAGAGGACCTCAGCAAATTGTCAGAGTGGTCCATAGAATGGGTGCTCCCGATAAATGTGGCAAAATGTGCAACCTCGCGCATTGGACAAGCAAGCACGAGCTCTTATGAACTAGAGGGAATTACACTTCCATCAGTTCAGACTCACTTGGACTTAGGTGTCATAGTTAGCCACGACTTAAAAACCACAGCACACTGTCGCGCGGTGGCTGCACGTAGTTTCAGGTCATTATGGGCAATTCGCAGAGCCTTTACTAGAACCACCAGAGATATGTTCACCTCCTTATATACATCTCTGGTGAGGTCAAGACTGGAAAACTGCATCCAGGCCGCCAGCCCTTGTCTAAAAGGGGACTCACTTATTCTAGAAAGGGTTCAAAGGAAAGCAACACGTATGATTCATGGCATGACTAACTTATCATACGAGGAAAGACTAGACAGTTTAAATCTCCTCTCCTTGTCATACCGTAGGCAGAGAGGAGATTTAATCACAATGTTAAAAATTTTAAATAATGACTACGGACCTGACCTATTTTCTCTTTTCCTTCCCACCAGGTCGGGACACCTTAGAGGACATAGCAGGAGAGTTCAAAAGCCAAGAAGAAATCATATTGCTGTTGAGTACTGGTTCTCACAGCGAGTCATAAACTCATGGAACCGACTCCCAGAAGAAGTGGTGTCTGCAACCTCAGTTGATTCGTTCAAGAAGGGTTTGGACAACAACAGAAATTTACTAGAAAAGGATTAACATGGGCTCCAAGCCTTCTATCCTCAACCAATAAATCTGAATCTGAATCTATTAAAATTATGCGCCGTTCATTTTAAGCCTTCTGATTGGTTAAAGTTGTCCTTGTCCAGGTCATTTGTCCGTTCGTACGGTAGTTTTCGTTTGGGCTGCTAAAGTTTACAGTCACCCACAATAATAAACGCGAAGAAGTACTGGGACATACTTGTACGCTATTTTGGTCAAATAGAGCACTGCAACAAGTTCAAACGCTCAAATATCTTGGATATGGCAGCCTGTAGACGGCCGTAGGTCATTTGATCAGCTGATGTCTAGTGGCTTTATTTAATGAAAACACTTCGAAAATAGGTAATTTTTGGTTGTTTTACACACTTTTACACCTATTTTGCTACTAAAAGTTGATGTAATAAGGCGTTTTCAGCACAAACAGGAAATGATGGTGTCCTTATCCGGCCGTAATTTACGGCCAATTTACAAATTGTTGAATTACGTACTTTTCCGTTCAGAAAACGTCGAATTACTTGAATAGACATATTATAACGACTTTTAGTGAGTTTTTTTGCAGTTTAAAGGATTATACATGGACATGATGAGGTGGGATAGTTGGTTTTGTTGATTATTTGGTATACTTAGTTGTGCACTTTTGCTAATGCTGTCAAAGCTGCTGTACATGTATTTCATTAAAGGAAATCTATAGAAATACTTAGAAATTATATACGCATACTATTTCCTTATTCTATGGCATATACTTGATGTTTACAGGCAGATGTAATATACATCTTTTTCGTGTTGAAAAATGTTGACTGACGTAATTATATACAATTTAAGTAATTATTTTGTTATTTTAAACATGTTAAGTATTTTATTCTTGCATTTACAGTGGTAACAATGTCTACATCTTTAGAATTCTTATGTTCTTTTTCAGATAATATCTACTTTGGGGAAATGCATGGATTTGAGTGATAAAGAAGAAGATGTCTTCAGTGTTGTACATTTCGTATAACATATTTATTCATTAATAAACGTATTCTTTGTTATTCGTTTGTATATTCTACTTGATAAGGCTGATTTGTAACTTTTGCGTAAGTTGTGGGGTACGGAGTATGTGACGTGATCATAGAAATGATATGTAAAATTAGATATTCGGAGAGGCTTATTGATGAAAAGAGTCTGTCGTACCGTAATGAAACAATTGTGCCCATTTATAACAGAGAACATTGAGATAATCAGCGATTGCAGTTATATGTCGTCTTACTAGGAACCTATATGTATAACTGAGTGCAAATGTGGTTATTGTAATAATAGAAAAAGAATGCCTAGGGTTCACCGATACGAAATGTAGTGCGTAAAAATCTATTCGCCTAACCGTTTCAACAACAATTTACGTAAGTTAGAATCAACAAGAGTCGTTATAGGAAAATTTATTTACGTTTATCTTTAAAAAATGTACATTTATCATTCCGAGCATGACGATGTAGATGACTGATCATGCACCTGTGCAGCAGCTTCAATCAGATAATTGTGTACGTAAAGAAACACACTCCTAAACATCCTAGGATGCGTCTGTTGCAGGTGTCTGATTTGATATATTATTCCTTGTATAAGTATCTCCACGTCCGAGTCCACCGCTTGTGTTGACTGTGATTGGATGACTGTGTGATTGTAATCTCGTAGCCACCTTGTACTATGTCTGAATACATCTTTTACAAATTAATTTGACGCTTATATGAACTTACCCAGACGTCTGTATATGTGACATTTGGTATGAACTAGATGACGGCATGGTAACAGCATATTTCTATGTTGAAAACATGTGCAGCTGCAATCATATTTGTCTACAACGAAGTATCTTTCACCTTCTTCAAATACGACGTATGCTTCCGTGCAATCCGTGACTTTCATTTCCGGATGCCTCCTAATGCTTTTATAAAGTGCATAGGCGGCGTAGCTTGTCAGTTGCCTCAGAATGTTAGAAAGGCCTTCGTCCACCTAAAAAAATTTGCGGTTACAAGTGTAGGACCTACGTCAAAATTAATGTAGTAATGCAGGTTGCGATTTCCTTCACTGGCCTTTCTTCTGGATGACTCTATGGAACACTTCCAAATCTCAAGAATGCTCAATTCCAATGGGAAGCACTTGCTGAGATGCGTTTTCAGGTGCTTATGGCAGCACTCGACTCTGTTATTGGTTTTGTTGCCAAGAGTGACAACATCTTTCATATAACATGCTGCCCACATATTGCGACAACTCCATAAGTTGTTATTTATGTAAGACATGGCTGCAGGGTAATTCACTCTCATTAAATTCATCAAGTCACTAAACCTAAGGAAGTGTTAACACAATCACGTAATTACCTGTCGTTATTCGTTGTGTACACCATCTCTTTAAGTAGGCTTTTACACTGAGGATCACGGAACTTAAGGACGTTAGGTAATTAGTAACGCCGCTTACTTTGTTATTGAAGGCACGGACGACATGGAATGCACATAATATAATTGAGCAGGCTGGGAACTCATTACGAATTGCACGTTGTTCTGCTGCACTGTTGTCAATTACAAAGGTTACAGTCCGTGATGTATCACCCATGATATTCTTAAATGACTGTAATACTGCTTCAACGTCAACAAGTCTTTCACGATGAGTTGTACTGTACATCACTGGACAACTTCTGTTGAGACCATCTGTAACGACCAGTTGATATAGAGGATGGCTGCAAGAGATTGCTTTCCCATTAAAATCTTACCCTTCCTTATTCGTATTATAGGTTGAATCCATACCCACAACCTCTGGAAATTTCTTATACAAACATATCATTTCCCTGGTTGCGAAACTAAACTTTTCCACACGTCGTCTACTGTCCATCACGCACCACACTGAACCTGAGTCATGAATTTCACGGATCAGTGAGTCTATATCTCGCATTCCTATACAAACTTTTAACGTAATATGACAACTCACTAGGGTAGACTAGTTCACGGAAATTCCGATAATCATCGTAAGTCATCAGCTTACCAAACTCAACATCAACCATATTAATAACTTGTGCTGGGGGGGGGGCGTTTCTTTCTACAAGAGGTATTATTTTCGATTTTTCTTCAAAACTGAGTCTTCGAACTTGCGGTTCAACAGACAACAACAGTTCTCTTGATAATGCATGGTTGTGTGTAGTATTGACAGGTTCGACCACTTTATAATATCCGAATTCAAGCTTAAATCTGAAACTGGATTGACACCCTATGTACTTAGATCTTAAATATGAAGATAAAGTACTTCACATTACTCACTGTGATATTCTTCGACTTCTGCTTTCTGATCGTCGACATCGACCTACGTGATATGAAAATGCAACATATAAGTACTTATAATCGGGATCAACCTCGTTATTTTCATCACGACGAATCCGGCAGTCACGTATTTTATATAAGCTGCCGGTTCGCTACAATTATTAATAATGATAAGCCACATTACGACAACACATCACCTCTTGAAAACGATGTATGCATTCTTCGCACTCCTTCCAAGTCCTTAGACTTTGGTAGCGAACTAATTCATTGAATTCTGTGGACAAATCAACTGATACTTCAATAATCTCCTCTACCATGACTATATGCATTCACAGTGATTCCAAATAACAGTTGATATCACCTTAAAAAGTAGCAATAGAAAAAGACAGCAAACAATATTTGCAAATACCGCTACAAATACTTGATAGGTGTTATAAAACAGACCAATCACAAGCGAGGAAATCACTTGTTTACCTCACTCGCGGGCACTCAAAATTACGGCCGTCGACAGGCTGCCCTTGGATATTGAAGTTGGTGGGACTGCGTTACAGGCTGCGTTACACCAGCTCCTGATTTGATTTTGATTTTGATTACAGCTTGATTCCACGCTGATGGTAAGTTCAGTGTGACACTGATTTACGTAATTCAGGAATATCGCGAAATTGCCAAATATGTTTCGACAAGTTCACCAGACTGGTTCCAGTCAAACGTAATGGCCGTTACAAATTGGCAAGCTAATAACAATGGAGGACGTGCTCTTGTTGCATTTTCCTCCCGTTCATATATACACGTTTTCATCATTAAACAAGAAATTTACTGGGAAAATCAACAGGAATATTCGTGGAGTTGTGTGGGCCAGATAATTGCCCACCAAGACAAAATATCGGCAGTAACCTTTGATGAGTGTGCTTGTTTGCGTGTGGTTTCTTGTGGCTTAGATGGTTTGGTTCGACGTTGGAAGTATATCAGTCAAGAATGGATGCTGGAGACTGAGTTTAATATACAGGAAGTGCGGGGAAATATCAACCCAACAGCTGTCAGTTGTCTCTCCTGCTCTGCAAATGAGTCATACAACTTCGTGGGCACAGATAGAGGGTGGCTTTTAGTATGGGTTGTTGACTGTGAGACGAACAAATCTTACTATGTATCTAAAAAATTCGAAAACGATTCTGTTGTGTTGTGCACATGGGAGAAATGTGCAATAGTTCAATCGATTTCGCGAGTTGCTGTCGGTTACAAGAAAGGAATTGTGTGTGTTTATTCATTTATACCGTCGGATATTTCTTCAACTCCAAGCATCGTACAGTTGACCCGCTTCTATGCTCATGAGGCGGATATCTGTCATATTGTATGGCGCTCAAGTGCTTCTGCGTCATCGTCAGATCCTGAGATTCTTACATGCGGACGTGATCAGATGGTTAAGGTGAGTGTTCGACAAAGTCTTCAATCAAATTTCAGTTTAATATCTAAATAATAAATAACTTCCTCACTAAATTCACCGTTTTACTGTCAAAAGATGTGTCAGTTAACTGTGTAGAAATGGTTGTACGCTGCAGCTTTTACAGTGCGGCAATCTATGGGATATGTGTTATGTGCGATTTGGTAGATCACTTGCCTAGCTGTTGTTGTTTGAAATAAGTCCCAGCCAGTTATTCGTGTTGCACGCTTCATGAGATCCCATTCGTCAAGCTTGTCGAAAAAGTGGGCGATGGTTTTACTTCAAATACCGATGACAAGTATGTATGCTGAGTGAAACCTGCCAGTGTAAGGTTTTAGTATCGAGTATTCATTGATTTTTACGTTTATGTTTTTGTCCAGTCAATAAATAATCATGTTTCTCAATCCCTTTTATTATATATCATTGCGTTCACCTGACACGAGATGTAGAAAACTCAGGTTAAAAGTTAAGTACTACGCATTATAAAAAAATATCAATGTATGTATAACATGTTCAGATGTCTAAGTGTGTATTGATTTGAGATACAACTGGTTTACACTCAGTATCAATGATAATTTGCAGTTACACTCACAACTAACCAATTAAATCTCCATTCTCGTTTGAAAACTATAGTGGAATAGTGTGACCTGTTTCGCGTTTGTTTTTTCTCTGTCGGTGATAGCCGACCATACACATGGTCTGGGTTCGCTCCCCGGCCGATGCACACCTGATATCAATGGTTGGCCAGCGAAATTTGGACTACCGATATCACATGCTGAAAATTCCATACTTGTATCAAAAATACTGTGGAGTCAAGCTACAATAAGAAAAATACTACTCAAGTCATTTTATAGTGGACATCAATACTGTTCTATGTGTCCTACATTCCTTCAGTTTTATATATTACTTAAATTTTTGGAGTGATATTTTTGTCGTTTAGGAACAGGGAAATTATGTAGTCTGACTTTGTGTTATCAGTTTTAGACACGAGTATTTGAGTCTGTTAACGAAAACTGAATCCTATAATCAATATTCATGTGCATGTGAAACTGAGTAACTAATTAATTCGCCAGCAGCTGTCTCAGTCTACAGGATGCCACTCAGACGCCGGTGACTGGAATCTTTAGGAAATTTAGGCTTCTTTCCCAGTCCGATTATAACCCAGTGACATCAAATTGTTGATTATTCCTTTTTAACCTTTTTACGTTATGTATGATGATAGCTTTTATCGTTGTTGTGTTATGAATAGAAGCAAGTGGAACAAATGAATTCGTCCAACATATGATATCATTAGTGCACAGTGTTCAACGAATAGCTGATTTCATGTTTCGTAATATTTAAATGATGCTATTTATTAGGGGTATGTTTATCCATCTTAACTAGACAGATATTTCTAGGTATTGCATCTTGTGTTCAGCGATATTTTTCATATTATTATCAGACATAATGCACGATAATGTGGGTGAAAACATAGAGAGTCGTTACATCATTTTTCCTTAAATCCTTTTATTGATTAGTAATTGGACATATGATATGCAGATTTTGACTTAAAACAGCTATAACTTTAAAGGTTAAACGGCATTTGTTTACAATTCTAATGGTTGCATATGTTTGCAGATAAATTCGCAATTTTCAGCCATCGATTATGGTAAAATTGGTTGAAGCACTCTCGATCTTCTTAGGTAGATCTACTGTATTTCTCTTATTTGGTCTGCCTTTTGAAGCCAGGAAACATTATATATAAACTAATTAAGTATTTATTCTGACTCCACACTTTAAATATACTTACACTTCTGACAACACAAAGCGGCTAACGACCATCTCATAACTTTTTATTTTCTGTTTTTTATTCGTTTACGTTCGCACTGGAACATAGGGCTTCAAGCTAGAGACTTGAAGTTTCTGTAGCAGTGGTGATTATTTTTACAGGATGGGGTTGCTAGCCTCGTGCCCAACCTTCCCTCCTGACCAGTCTCACCACTGGTTTAGCGAGGTAAAGGAGTCTGTCAGCCGGGGATCGAACCTCGGACCACTTGCGTAGTCGGCGAACACTCTACCTCTGTGCTACCGACGCACAAAAATGTCAGCATCATTACTAAATTCTTCCTCTAATTTACCAGGGGAGTTTCACTTTCTTCGGCATTATGATTATTCCTGCTTCTATTAGCCGACAGTTTCTACTTCGTATTCACTCGTGTTTTAAAGTATGTTATGTCGTCGTTCTAGTAATCGTATTCTTAAACTTTGCAGGGACTGAATAGTTTCGTTTCTATTCGTTGTATTCCTGTAGAGAAATTTGAACAAATGCCTCTTTTCCATTAAACGTTTATGTTTTCCCACGTTAATGATATTCTTTCTCCCGTACATTTCTGCACATTATAATTCCCTAGAATCTTTGTTTTTTTTCTCTAACTTTTTGCGCTACATATAGTGTGGCAACAAACTTCTATCGGTACTTCTGTGTAAAGTTCTGTGCTGAAATCCCCATTTCTGTTTAATTTCATCGTAGATGTACTAATGGACTGAGTCCTGACTGACTTCAGCGACTCAGATTGTCTTGTTACCATGACTATGTGGATCATGTAGTCATCCTTCGTAAATGAAGACGCTGGAAAAATACAGAGTCTTCTAAACACCTTGAGCAGCAGTCGTCGAATGTTTGGCATGCGATTCGCTCTTGTCATACTACAGGGCTGCACTACGTCGATTCCTAGCTTAAAGATAAGCAGGAGTGAAGTGGTAGAGCGTGTTGACCACTTCACTTATTTGGAAAGTTCCATTAACCAGTCCCAGTGCGTTGATCGCTGACGAAATCTCACTATGGATACAGAAGACTTGTTTGGCTGTTGGCCCGCCAACTTAAACCATCTCTGGTGTACACGTGCTATCTGGCTGGCTGTTGACCAAAGTACGTGTAAACTGCTCACCAGTTGACTCCCACCTACTCCTTTATAGATGTGAGTGAAACGTGACCACTGACAGTGAAAGACATGGAAAGCCCGGCGAGCTATCTTTCATCATACGTGTCTGTGTTATGGTATGGTATGATAGGGTGAGTAATATTGTATTGAGGTTAGGCATCGGTCGAGTTCTAGGTAAGGAGGCTGGGGAAGACAACCAACGAGGTTGTGATGTTACATCGATTGAGATGCCTAGGAAAGGTGTTACGCATACTAGCCCAGCCATCGATCGCCTTACTCGACGGGCAGTCTTACCTAGCTGACATAGGATTGGTGAGGTCTAAAAAAGCTACTGGTGGTGAAACGAAAACACGACATCACCAGTCAACAAAATCCATAACAGTTGGTTTAAGCCAGCCGGCCAGCAATATTTTTCGTGTGTCTGTGTGGACACAAATACATAGGGAGGAGTAATCGTGCTTTGTATGTGAGGGTGGGAGGTCATATCCTGAAATGGTTTGAAAAACAAATGAATTGTGGAAAACCAATAGACGCAGGTGTCAGACTACCAACTTCGTCTGTTGCTAAGCATCTAATCGAGATTAACCATAAGGTTGATGTTAACTCAGCCTCTAAGGTCATCTATAAAAAAAAATGGTCAGGGGCACTTATTAGAATACGCTGAGGCCATAGCTATTCATAAACTTAAGCCTCCCCATGTATTCGAAAACAGTTTATTATTACTCTTAACTTATCTTGGTAATGCTTATTTGATTGGATTACTAAACGTTGTGCTAATCATTCTGAAATCCTTTTTTGTCACTTTGTTTAATTTAATTGCCCTTAATTTTTTCAAATATATTGACTTGACAAGTAAATGTGTGAGCAGATTGTTCGAAATGTAAAGCGCGAATACATCACATTTTTCAGATAATCTCCGTCTTCTATTAACACTATTCGAATATCCAATGAAACTCTATTGTTCTTTCGGATTACTGTCCTTCTCCCCTGACTCACACTTCTGTTTATTATATATCTGTGGTTTCTTGTCATGCTGTGTGTGCTACGTGGAGTGCGAGAACTCGAACTGCTGCACATCTGTTCAAAGTTCTGTGTTGAAACCAGTGTGTCAGTCAGTAATATATTAGTGTATTCATATGCAGTAGGACACCATTTTTGCTAATGTTTGATTTCTTTTTGATTTCTGTAAATAGGTATGGAATGTCACCACTTCAGAATGCACTTCATCTTACCAAGTTCCCGGTCAATTACGTCAACAATTTGGAAATGCTGGACGACATAACGAGAAAAGTGAACAAAATGGAGCTCCATGGATATCTGCTTGCTACACACCAGGAAGTGATTCGTCAGTGAATGTTTTATTCTCAAGTGTACGAGGTGGACTATTTCACTGGGATTGCAAAGGAACGCCTAGCTGTATGTCGCTTGACAGTCAGGGACATTCTATGCTAATTTTCTCAATGCACTACTTTCTTAATTCACCAGGACTGGTAATCACTTTGAGTCAAGATAGATTTTTGATTGTTTGGCAGTTGGTGGAAGGATCTAAGCTGTCAGTGATTCTTAAAGTACCTACAATGTCTGCAGGTGTTTGCTCTTTAGCTCAATCTGAATTTAGCAATGGTCCCTTAGTTGCAGGTCTTTCAGACGGTTCCATGATATTTTGGAAGTTTCCTGCACCAGAATTGTTTGGCGAAAGAAATTCTTCTGATAACCAAAAGAAAGAAAAGTTTGTTTCAATATCACCTCGAGGATTCAAATCATCTTCGATAACCACGCTGTCTTGTCATCCTTTACCGCAGTTTGAAAATGTTATTGCTTATGGCACTGAATCAGGTTGTGTGGAGATTGTAGATATTAATAAGCTACGAAGAATGAAATCACAAAAGCCTAAACCGCAGCTGTATGCATTTGGTTCAACTGTATATCGAGTTACCTGGGGGCCTTTACTATTTTCTGATATATATCGTAGAAAGGCAAATAAAAGTGAAGAGAGAACTAGCGAAATCAATCATTCGAAATCTGATAATTCTAGCATTTCAACAACGCATATAATTGCACAAGAAGATGAGAATTCCACCGAGGATAACGAAGCCTCATATAAGTTTTCTTTCT